ATTACACACAAAATGCTTGCCACAAATGAACCACAAAACCTTTCTAATCTCGTCAAGGATCATACACCATCACGTGACCTCTGCTCATCCTTGCAGTGAATTTTGACTGGCCATCGAATAAAGACGGGTACCGAATCGTATGCGTTCCGTTTCACGTCTTTGTCCATCTGGAACGCTCTTCCTTCCGACATTAGGAAGCTACTGATGAGCATGGTTGTCTACATACGGTGCGAAATAAGTTTAACTAAATACAACTATAGCTACAACAGCCCTTTGATAATCTACAATTCCTGCCTAATGCCTTCAAATTAATTCTCAAAGATTAAATGTCGGTGCCATGGTGACAAACATGCTGGTGAGATGAACTGCAGTGGTGGACTTGCGCACAAACATACACAAACATACTTTGACAAAATTAAAGGGTGTAGCAGGTTGCTCAAGTTTACAAAAAGTTAAAACGATGATGAGTTAAAGGAAGCCGGTGTGAGTAAAGTTTTCAGTCATTCACGATATGCTGTCATACAGCCGAATACGCACATCAGGGAAACTGCAATGAGTGTTTGTCTCGAGTCAAACATTATGAATCCCAATGAATATACGTGTAAATGTTAACGCTTTTTATCTTTAAAAGTAAGTAGTTTGATGCTTACACACATCTCAAAAGGGTTTTACGAAAAAATGTAACAATGAAAATTAAATCAAATGTACAGCGGTCAGGGTAGAACATGTTGACGTGGAGGAATGTATTGTAAAGGCAAGACTGGAGGAGTGGAATCTTTTTACACAATCTTAACAAAACTGCTTTGGATACAATGCCATTGTATACTATAAGCATGGCAAATGTCATGAACATTTGAACGTGATCCGGGACAAATTACGAGTTCTGAGATAGCACACGCACATCCATACATACATTCGCTACCACTTTAGCAAATAACTAAATGGAAAACTGGTATGCATGCATGGTGGCATCCATTTATATAAACTTAAATAAACATTTTTAAAAAGTAGGACTGATATTTTTTTTATATTATAAACCAAGCGTTTAGGAATATTTGAACATAAATATCCCCAATTGCCGCACATATGCAGATACTGATTGACAGGCTTTAAAAAATACTGTCTAATAAATCAAATAAAACATGAAATAAAGTGACATAAAACACTTTCATTTCCATAATACCTTGAGTCCTGATACTAGTCAAAAGGGGGGCAATGAGTTACCACAATTGCAGACACACACACACAGACAGAGATACCCACACACACACAGAGACAACAACAACAACCGCCATTCGCCACTAAGTGGCGGTGACGTCACCACGACGCTTGTGCCAGGCCAAGTGCACCTTGAGGCCACGTGAAGTGTCGAACGCCCGCTGGCAGGAGGTCACGGGCAGACCCAGGTGCCACGGGTCAACTGACCGAGATGACTGGCTGATGCACCACCTGTGCCCCCTACTGTACCAACTTGCTGTGCTTTAGCCACCCGGGGCTCCGCTCGTTGTTGTGAGCATCACTCCTCCGCCCTCCGTTGTTGTTGGAGGGCGACTGCCTCCAACTGCCCAGTAGCGTCCTTCACGAGCCTCCTCCACTGAGGCCGATCTTGACACAGCTGGTTCCAGTCATCGGCAAATCGACTCAGCTCCACGTCCTCCTGTACCACATCACTCCATCTCTTCTCTAGCCCGTGCCGCGCCCGTTTAGCCCCCTCGATCCGGCCGAACAAAAGCTGTTTAGGCATGCGGTGGCTGGGCATGCGGGCTACATGACCCAGCCAACGCAGCCTTGCCTGCCGGAGGAGCTCACCGATGGGACTTTGCCCAGATCTTTCAAGGATTTGTGAGCTCCTCGCACAATCCAGCCTGGTTAAATCCAGGATGGATCGTAGGCAGGCCAGCCTAAATGTTTCCAACCGGCGAAGATGCTCCATTAGGGGGGGTCCACATTTCGCAAGCGTAGAAAAGGGAGGGAATGACCGTGGCCGAGAAGACCTGAAGCTTCGTGCGGAGCGACAGACCAGGTAGCTTCCACACAGCGTTACGCAAACGATGAAAAGATATTGCCGCTCGACTGATTCGGAGTGAGACCTCTGCTGTTAAACTGGAGCCGGTCATAAGCACACTGCCCAGGTATGGGAAACTCTCCACTCTCTCCACAACTGCCCCATCACCGATTGGGAGTTGTGGGGGTGGAGTGTCCGATGGTACAAAATACCCAGGCAGGTGCTTAGTTTTGGTGGGGCTGATGGTAAGGCCCCACCTCTTGGTGGCACGCTCCAGTCTCAGCAGCAGCGTCTCCAACTCCTCTTCTGAATGAGCAGCTATTACCAAATCATCGGCATACATAACGTGGTTGACCAATAGGGAGCCATCCCTTGATCGCACCCGGGCGTCGATCAGCCTCCCATTATATCTGTACCAAATGGAAATTCCCCCGGTACAGTTATTGAAGGCTTCACGAACTACGCAGTCTAAATATATGTTCAATAATGTGGGAGCCAGAGGACATCCCTGTCGCACCCCAAGGTGTACAGGGAAAGGCTCTGACTCCCGGCCACGTAGTTTTACCCGGGCCCGCTCACCATCATGAAGGTCCTTAATGATCGTGAGCAGAGGGTCAGGGACTCCGAAAGCACGAAGAACAGCCCAGAGCTCAGGCCTACTGATGGTATCATAGGCCTTGACCAAGTCAATAAAGCAAAGATGTAGGTCTTGTTGGAATTCCCTACACCTCTGCTGTAGCAGACGGACAGAAAATATGGCATCTGTGCAGGACCGCCCTTTCCTGAAACCGCATTGGGGCTCCGCAAGCCTCTCCTCAGCGTGCCTAGCAAGGCGATGTTGAATAATCCTTGCCAGGACCTTTCCCGGCACACTGAGCAGTGAGATACCCCTGTAGTTGTTACAGTCTGTGCGGTCCCCCTTCTTAAAGAGGGGGACCACCAGGGCATCCTTCCAATCCTGTGGAACCCGTCCAGTGGTCCAGACTGTTGTTATGATGTCATATAGGGCAGTCTGTGCACAAACGCCACCCTCCCTCAGCATTTCGCTTGGGAGATCATCTCTGCCCGGTGCCTTTCCTGGTCTCAGACTCTGGATCGCCTTCAGTACTTCCTCAACAGATGGCACCTCAGCCAGCCACTCACAGGGGGTGACCTCTTCCAATATTTGAGGCACCGCAGCCTCAGCAGGGTTGTCCCCACTTTGTGCCATGATGTTTTCCTGGCTGAGAGATTTCCCCTCCCCCAGGACCTCACAGAAATGCTCAGCAAATCTGCAAACCTGTTCCTGGGGGTCGGAGATTGGATTACCTAATGATGGTAATAGGTGTGGCGCTGCAGGTTACTTTTTTGATGGAGTTAAATAGTCATTTGTGATCGCGGGCCACTGAGGCAGACTCCATCTCCTCAGCAACCCGCGACCACCACCCATCCTTGCAGCGCCTTACGGCTCTCCGAACCTCCGAGCGAAGGCTGCGGTAAACCTCCTCATTCTCTGACGTGGGATGCTGTAGCCGATGAGAGTGGGCCTGTCGCTTTTTCTCAACTAACCTGAACACCTCCTCTGTCAGCCAGGGTTTCTGGGGAGGTCTGGACCGCGTACCCAAAGCAGCCATTGCCGCTGCATGAGTCACAGTCCTAAACCTCGCCCATTTACCCTCGACATCAGGAGGAGTGGGGGAAGATGCCAACCCCAGCTGCAAGCGATGATGAAACTCTCGCTTGCATCTTTCATCAGCTGAGACCAGGCCACTTTTGGTTGGAATGGGGTCCTGGGTGTACACCCACCACCGGAGTGGAAGAATGGCAGGCGCATCTTACAGATGACTAGTCGATGGTCAGAGGGCAGATCAGCTCCACGGTAGGTCCTGGTGTCAAGGACATGGGCTCGCATCCACACAGAGACACACACACAGACACACACATCACGACGACAATAATTCCCCGTGTAGCCTTAACAGGCTATAGGGGCAAGTGCTGTTAGTGAGCAGCGCCTATGAAGGCCGGCAAAAACACGAGGGAGTGGGTGGCCAACACCACACCCGGCCCCCTTTGTCTCCCCAGTGGCGATGTTTACACACCACACCCAGGCGCTGATGTTAGTCGTGAGCAAGAATCGAACTCGGGTCGCCACTTTGTAGCGCAGTACATTCACCGCTACACTACCGCTCCACACACACCAATACCAATATCCGCCATTCGCCACAAAGTGACGGCGACGTCACCACGGCGCCTGTGCCAGGCTCGGTGCACTTTGAGGCTCTAAATGTGGGGTTGGCTGTCTTGCTTTCTTCTGAAACAGTGGGATGCTTTCCAAGCAAGAAAAGCTCACGAAAATGTTTATTTGAGACAAAAAAAAATCTGAAATGCTGGATATGATCGAGACCAGTCTGTAGTTTGACTGCTTACAAATGCCGCTTGGTGATTGATGTTCGCATGGAAAAATAAACGGTCAATGGACTAAACTATTTTTCTATTTATATGTGGATATATAATGGAGTTCTGCTTATTTGTCCTTTCGCCCATGATGCTCCACATATATGCATAATAAGTTCGTGTATGATTTAAGTTTTAGTGCATTGAGAGCCTTAGTATAATTTGGAAATTATATCTCATTGTCCGACTCCTCAAGACACTCCTTACTCATACTCTTAGTTTTTTCGGTAAAGTCACGTAGGTAAAAAAATGAAATTAAAATTTATAAAAATAAAATAATAAAAATCACGACGTTTTGGAGGTAACACAAGTCTCCGTCATCAGGTGGGACCGTCACAGCCATATTTGCTTTATCAAGTGAGTACGCTATCCTCACTGCCTTGGTAATATGCAATATTTAACAACTCGAAGGGCATACGCTCACAATCTTTATTTCACGTCCACACACGCGTTCTGTCTCTCACACACAGGCACACACGCGCATTCGTTATTATCAAGCACTGGGTGGAGTCTGGGAAGCTCCACCTTTTTGTGAATCTGAATATAAAGCCAGGGTGAATCCAGAGAGCAGAAGAGACGGAGCGAATGACTTGCGCTCTACGGCTTTCCATCACCTGAACATCGTGAGTATTCTAAGAGATGCAAGTCGGCTGCACATTAGCCAGTAATAGGCTAAAAGTATTGAAATCAGTTACAGATAAATTATGTACGGTATATATGTTAGAACGTACATTGTATAGACTATGTATGGTTAATATAGGCTGGGTATTGTAAATCAGATATGTTAACAGGCTACGTTTAAAAAATAATACCATATTAAACTGCATGTTAATGTCTAATTGGTTAGCGATGTTAAATAGGTTGAACAAATGGCCCTGTAATATCGGACTGCATGCAAACACACCAAAATAGTGAAATATTATAAGTTATTACAGTCTAGGCAACAACAAAATGACGTTTTAAAAATATGTCAAACATTAAACTTGCCTGAACACTTGCACATACGCGAACCTTGATGTTGGTTTGTAATACTAGCCATATCCGAAAAACAACATTATCCTTTTTTCACTGTTTGCGACTCCCTTAATAGTAATTATTTATCAAACGCATTATCTATTGATATGCCAATCACCGTGCATACTACCTTCTTGACAATGTTCGGACATGTGGTCATTAACGAAAAATATAGAACAATAACTCGGGGTATAAGAAGAGGTTTTACCCTTTCTGGCAATAAAAGAGGTGTTAAGATGTTAAAACACCAAACTACAATCTTTTCAAGGATTCATGTCTGCATTAACCACGTACACTTGTGGTGATCACATTATGCTTAAGTTTAAACACAGGACACAATCTAAACACCAAAGTATGCAAGTGAGGTGTGTATGTGTACGTAAATAATTGCACATACAAATGACGTGGTGTAGACTAAGGTTGCCGCTAATCATTACAGGTTTCTCTCACTTTATGCGGGTTCGGTTTGTGTAATATCATGTATATTGGACGAATGCATTTCTACCCAAAATTCGCTATATGCAATTTAAATTCACTCATATACGGCTTCGTGATCGGACGTGGGACACCATTGTGTGTGTGTACTCTATGAACTGTTTGGCAGGTAAGCTGCCCTGTGTGGTTTCGGTTTGTGTGCAGTTTTTCTTGGAACACATCTACAACCACAAAGCGAGGGAAACCTGTATGTGTTGCACTTGAGTCTGCGCCCTTTCCAATGAATGTGCAGTATGTAACAAAACATTCCATCGCACGACAGTGGCATTAAAGAGCTGTATAAGACGACCTCGCCACTTGGGTGCTCTCATTAACAATTTTCTTCTACCACGTAACTTATTGCAACACTACAGGCGCAGTCCTTGGCTCTGCAAGCGGCCCATAAATAAACGAAAAAACGTAATAGAATCCTTCTCGTGACACTTAGTGTGCCTCAGCAGGAACTAAACTCTGTTGCCAGTCACGAGGGCAAGTCCCGGAGTCTGCCCGTGCCGAATTAACAAATATTATTGCGTGCTGTTTATATGTAACTAGCGGTTAGTACTCGGCGTTACCCGGGCGAAAAAGGCAGACACATGTAGTTACACACGCAAATCGACTGACACACACACGTAGAGTTACACACACAAATGGACTCACACATACATACATACATCGACTGAACAACAACAACCACCATTGGCCACTAAGTGGTGGTGATGTCACGACAACGCTTGTGCCAGGCCATGTGCACCTTGAGGCCACGTGAAGTGTCAAACGCCCGCTGGCAGGAGGTGACGGGGCAAACCCAGATGGCACAGGTCGACTGACTGAGTCGACTGGCTGATGCACCACCTGTGGCCCCTACTGTGCCAACTTGCTGTGCTTTAGCCACCCGGCGCTCCGCTCGTTGTTGTGAGCGTCGCTCCTCCGCCTTTCGTTGTTGTTGGAGGGCGACTGCCTCCAACTGCCCAGTAGCATCCTTCAGGAGCCTCCTCCACAGAGGCCGATTTTGACAGGGCTGGTACCAGTCATCCGCAAGTGGAATCAGCTCCAAGTCCTCCTGTACCACATTACTCCATTTCTTCTCCAGCCCGTGCCACGCCCGTTTAGCCCCTCGATCCGGTCGAACAAAAGCTGTTTAGGCATGCGGTGGGTGACCATGCGGGCTACATGACTCAGGCAACGCAGCCTTGCCTGCCGGAGGAGGTCACCGATGGGATTTTGTCCACATCTTTAAAGGATTTGTGAGCTCACACAATGCAGCCTGGTTAAACCCAGGATGGATCGTAGGCAGGCCATCCTAAATGTTCTAACCGGCGAAGATGTTCCATTCGGGGGGTCCAAGTTTCACAAGCGTAGAGAAGGGAAGGAATGACCGTGGCCGAGAAGACCTGAAGTTTCCTGCGGAGTGATAGACCAGGTAAATTCCACACAGCGTTACGCAGCCAATGAAAAGATAATGCGGCTCGACTGATTCGGAGTGAGACCTCTGCTGTTAAACCGGAGCCGGTCATTAGCACACTGGCAAGGTATGGGAAATTCTGCACTGTCTCCACAACTGCCCCATCACCAATTGGGAGTTGTGGGGGTGGAGTGTCCGATGGTACAAAATAGGCAGGCAGGTGCTTAGTTTTGGTGGGGCCGATGGTAAGGTCCCACCTCTTAGTGGCAAGCTCCAGGTTCAGCAGCAGCACCTCGGACTCCTCCTCCGAGTGAGCAGCAAGTAGCAGATCATCGGCATACATAACGTGGTTGAGCAATAGGGAGGCATCCCTCGACCGCACCCGGGCATCGATCAACCTCCCATTGTATGTGTACCATATGGTAATTCCTCCGGTACAGCCATTGAAGGCTTCACGAACTACGTGGTCAAAATATATGTTAAATAATGTGTGAGCCAGAGGATATCCCTGTCACACCCCAAGGTGTAGAGGGAATGGCTCTGACTGACAGCCACATAGTTTGACGAGTGGCCGCTCACCATCATGAAGGTCCTTAAGGATCGTGAGCAAAGAGCGAGGGACTCAGAAAGTACGAAGAACAACCCAGAGCCCAGGCTTACTGATGGTATCATAGGCCTTGAGCAGGTCAATAAAGCACACAGATGGACTAAGACGCACACATGGACCTACAGACACGCGAAAAAATGGACTTACACTGACTAACATGGAGGCATGCACACAGCGACTAACACACACGCACATGGACTGAGACACACACACACACATATCGACTCACACACAAACACATCGACTCACACACACATGGACTCACACACACATAGACATCCACTTAAGATACACACACATGGAGTTACACACACATATCGACGTATACACATACAGCGACTCACACACATACATCAACTCACAGACAGATATACGTGGACTCATTAACACATTGACGTAAACACACATGTACTTACACACATACATATGAACTACGACACACACACATGAACTTACACATACATAGACTGACCCACACATTGCCCTACACACACATACACATATGGACTGTGACACACAGACATGTACTTTAGATACACATGGATTAACAGGCACATAGACTCACACACACGCATTGACTTACACACACACATCGAGTGACACACACACATGTATAGACTTACACACACATGTGGACTAACACACACACAGCGACTGATATGCACACAAATGGACTGACATACACACACATGGGGCGTTGTCCGTTTGAAAAAGACAAACACACACATGGACTTACACACAGACATGGACCCACACACGTAGAAACCCATCGATTTACACCCACACAAACACACAGACATCGACTTTAGGGACACACATGTAGTTTCTGCACAAGAACATTATAATTGTAATATTTGTAAACTTATTTGTTTAATAATAGTAAGCAATAAACGTCAGTTCTTAGCAAAAAATGCAATAAAATTGTACTTTACATTGGCGTGGTGACGCCTCGTCCCATGTAGAGCCCGCGGCCTCGCCTAGATTGGCAAGCCAGAGGAGCTGAGACATTGCCAGGCTACTGGTTGGGCCGCTACTCCCGCCCCCCCCCCACCATCCCCCCGTCCGAGGCAGAATAATACTATGTAAGCGCTTTAAGAATATTAAGTTAATATCTAAGAACTTTATAGCAGTAACTGTACGCATTGGGGTGGTGGGGGGGAAGAGAAATCGGCAGCGTGATGTGGATATTTATTCCATGTTAAACGCGTAAAAGGAAATGTCCCCCGTGAGCTGCAGCGAACGCGCTTCACTTGGCAGGCTCCGCCCCCCCACGCAATTGGCGTCAGTTGCTACGGTCGACGGCGTACAATAAGTAAATAATTAATAATAGAAACGGCACAAATTTGTTAATTAAACTACTTTAACGTTTACGGATGGGAAAACGGAATAGCCTATTCCCACCGCGGGGCTTGGGGTGTGCCGCCTGGTAAATCTTTTTCTACGTGAAGGCCACCGTCCGAGAGCCAAATCCCCCGAAAGCACGAGCGCGTGGAGACTTTTATATATAAGAAAGAAAAAGAAGAAGATTTCTAGCTAATGTGATTAATTACCTAGTATACATTACGGCCCGACATTCTCCTCCCACCTTTGCACACGTGGTGCATCCATCGGGTCAGCCTGAGATCATCCCTGGTTCTGGCTCCACAGACATCCTGGCACTTGATGTCATAACCCCTATCAAACTACTCCCTTTGGAGGTCATCCCACGATATGTGTGAGCACAGACACACTTAATTGCCCCTAGGTGTTGTGTGTGTCTGTAGCCATGTTTATTGTGAAACGGCTTTCCTCCCTCGTTAGGTCGACTCATCCTTAAAATTAATTCCTGCTGCAGCATGCAATGACAGTCACTGGGAAGACAAAGGCGGTTGGCAGACTCTGGTTATACCCCTGGAATGCATGCAATTCTTGTCGTGGAGAATATACGTTATTCATATTACGTATATTTTCTGCATGATCCTTTGGTTCAAGACTTCAATACAAAACTTCCATCCTGCTGCAGCATGCAATGACAGTCACTGGGAAGACAAAGACGGTTGGCAGGCTCTGGTTATACCCCTGGAATGCATGCAATTCTTGTCTTGGAGAATATACGTTATTCGTATTACGTATATTTTCTGAAT